GACCTATGTACACTCTTCGTGGGACCAAGGCTGGCTTCTGAGTGTCGACCTCCACCATGGGAGCTGCGAGATGCCGCCGATAAGGTTTATAACTGTACAAGGGGAGATAATCACGGAAAACCAACATGTATCCGAGGGAAGGCTCGAGGAAGTCACAGAAGTGTAGGCGATGGTATGTATAAAGAATTAGCATTGACACGGGTTCTTTCTATCATCGTTTAACGTTTTGTCACCATGGCGACTTCTTCGGTAGAAAATCCGGGACTTTGGTCAGTTTTTAAACTTGTCCATATCTTCCGATTTTTTACGGAAGAGTTATCTTCCCTACCAATTGTATGTATACTTTACCCCAAAAGGAAACGCATAGATGATAATGGTATATGAAATTTCAAATATTTTTCAAAATTAGTGTTTGATTGTTATAATTTCGCCATAACAATGCTGGTTTGTGTACATGGAAGGAAAACACAGCGCCAAAACGCATCTTCGGAGACGTTAATGCACGTTTACGTTCGAAAGTGTCAACATGCGTGAAAATACCATGGAGAAAAAGTGGTTAGTTATATGCACGTGCAGTTCTGAGGAATTATGAGCAGGGAGATTGCCTTTATAATGTCGTTTTGCTTGTAGACGGTCATTGGCAATTTTAGCTACAAAAAATTAAAAAATAACGTTATGCCGTGACTCACTGCTGTAAATCGAAACATTGCCATTAGACGTCTGGAGGCGGGGGAGTCTCAATCTGCAGTTAGCACCTCACCTTAATGTTCACCAGAGTACCACCAGTTGTTTATGAGACCGATATCATCACACTAATTCTACGCAAGATCTGCCTCGAGGTGGTAGACCTCGAAATGCACGTGTTATCTCGCTTTAAAGTTAGCAGATTAAATTCGTTAAAATACACCCATACGTTTCTATTTTTTGGAGAGTATATATGTAAATGAATTAAACGGCATGAACCAGGTGAACCCATGTTGAATCTAAACCGTTGCCTAGTAACAAACGACTGAGAAAACATCCAGGTGATCTGGTTATTGTGGAACTATGCGAGATTAATTCTAACGTTTTATGACAAGGTTATAAGGAGTACAAAGCTGGGAATGAGACGATCTATGTCAAGGAGTATACTGCACAGAAGACGTGGGATAGAGCTGCTCAACAGTGTCGCTTTGATGGGGCGAGGCTTGCTGTACTGGACACAATGGAGAAATTGGAAATCATTAGAAGATATGGCCGTAAGTCTCCACGCAGCGAATGCACCATTTGTTGGTTTTATTATAGAGTTCATCCATAATGAGATTGTTTAAATCTTGTTCTTTAAAGTCCAGGGGCCTAACGTCTCAGAGTCATCATTGCACTTTTAAGGCGCTCGTAACTTTTTAACATACAGGGTCCCGATCCACAAAGCGTCCGTAACATTACGACCTGTCGTAACTCTATAGTTTATCATAGGCTTACGAATGTTGTACCGCTATGAATACTTTATGGATCGGTATATAATTTAGCATATGTAGTGTAATATATGTCATATTTGGGCTGGTTGCTGGTGTGTTGTTTAACGCCACGCTCAGCAATATTCCAGCTATACGGCGGGGCTCTGTACAATAATCTCGGATCTTCACGGGATTCTTTGATCATAGTCAATACGTCTCAGTCAACACAAAGAATAGGTGTGGGTCTTGTGAGTGACTTATGTGCGGCCCAGTGACATGAACCATCCCCGGGTGTATGGGGTTTTTGGGGTAGCCTAATGGTAAAGCGTACGTTCGTCACGCAGAAGGTCTGGGTTCGATTCCCCAACTGGGTACTCTGTGTGAAACCCATTTCTGGTATCCCTCGATGTGATATTGCTGGGAAATTGCTAAAAGCGGCGTCAAAATATGCTCACGCAAGGTGTATGTAATTGCGCGGTCTTAATTTTCTGCATCCTGAAAAGGTCGTGCCACCGATACAGGAATCATATATGCAGTTCTTAAAGCTTCTCTCTATCAGTCTAAATGAGATTGTGCTGAATAGAGTGAGTGAGTGAGTTGAGTTTTACGCCACACTCAGCAATATTCCAGCTATATGGCAGCAGTCTGTAAATAATCGAGTCTGGACCAGACAATCCAGTGATCAACAGCATGAGTATCAATATGCGCAAAATTGGGAACCGATGACATGTGTCAACCAAGTCAGCGAGCCTGACCACCCGATCCCATTAGTCGCCTCTTACGACAAGCATGGGTTACTGCAGATCAATATTCTAACCCGGACCTTCACGGGTCGTGCTGAATAGAAAGTTCTCCTGATGCGACCTCAAACGGAATAGTTGTCTCATGAACTACGGGGCAAAAGAAAGTTATCACAGACTTCACTTGACCAAAAAAATAGAAAACAAAGACGACCCGTGAATATCCGGTTTGGAATCCGGTTTGGAATCCGGTCTTCAGCACCCAATGCTTGTCGTAAGAGGCGACTAACGGGTTCGGGTGGTAAGACTTGCTTGACACATGTCATCGTATCCTAATTGCGCAGATTGATTATCTCAATCACTGGATTGTCTGGTCCAAACTGGATTATTTACTGGAGTGCGGCGTTAATTAACAAACAAACAAACCAAATACTAACTATCGGACTCAATCATTCATTTACTGCAGTTCCACACTGGATCGGACTGAGGGATGTGTATGGCAACAACACATTCTTCTGGTCAGATGGCTCCCGGTACAGATCCATCGGGAGAAACATGGACGCTAAATGGAGAAGTGGGTTTCGTGACTGCTTGGCTTTATATTTCAAGAGAGGTAATGTGGGTTGGGCAGCTAGAGACTGCATCTATACCATGCCCTTCCTGTGTGACAAACACTTTAAATGAAGAAATGGGTACCCGGTGGGATAAGTTATGTGGCTATAACCTTCTAGCGCTTGGGTTATCCGGGGTAATAATTAACTGTCTGTTTGTATGCGCTTCGAACATGCACTTGGTGTATGGAATCTGGCGCTATAGATGTACATATTATTATTTATTATTAAGAATTAGATTTTGGTATTTGGTGGTTTAACAGTGACGTTACATCCTCGACAGGTCCAGTATTACATGTTCATATTTGGATGTTAAATAACCTGGAGCCATTTTCGGCCGTAGCTTCGTCCGATTCGAAACATGCCATAGCAAATACAGCCGTCCCGTCAAGCAACAAAACAAGCACGAGAACCTCTGTGCTAATTGCGATCACCTACCAACAGATTTCTCGCATGTGTTTTGGATGAGAGAAATATACATCCTGTAAATGTGGTGTGTTCATATCTCAAGACATTGATGATATTATGATGTCACTATTTGCTGACGATGTAACTATGTTTTCCTACAGTCATTGGTTTACAGCAACAACATAATGTTTTGCATCAATTTTGTATTACTTGGGGGTTGAGTGTTAAAATTGAGAAAACTGATATTGTGTTCAGAAATGGAGGTGTGTTAAAAAAGGATGAAATGTATATGCATAGGCGCTTGACTCTGATATGTTTATAAGTATGACCTATATATATAAGATATAAGAAAGGTGTGTCAGTAAATCGAAACAAAATGGCGGCCCGGCTCGGCTCGGCTGGGTTTCGGTCTGACAAACGCTTCCATCGCTTTGACCGTTGAATAAACTGCACAATTTATGCTCAGTTGACCTCTGTAAAGTACCTTGCGTATCACAAACCTGGTGATTTTATTCTCATTTAAAGCTTTCAATAATTTTGCCGTCCATTCTCGCCCAAAGTCAGGACATATGCCCGGAAGGAAACAAATCTCAGGCTACAGATATGCACCGAATAGCAGAGCGAGTCTCTGATTGGATAATATAGTTGCACGTTAAAAGAGGTGGGAATAATAGAAGACGCTATCCAATCAGAGACTCGCTCTGCTATTCGGTGTTGAATTTTCAAGATGGGATGTTGAAGTTTTAAGAAAGGATGTTGAATTTTCAAGATGGGATGTTGAATTTTCAAGATGGGATGTTGAATTTTTAAGAAAGGATGTTGAATTTTCAAGAAAGGATGTTGAATTTTCAAGATGGGATGTTGAATTTTCAAGATGGGATGTTGAATTTTAGAAAGGATGTTGAATTTTCAAGATGGGATGTTGAAGTTTTAAGAAAGGATGTTGAATTTTCAAGATGGGATGTTGAAATTTTAAGAAAGGATGTTGAATTTTCAAGAAAGGATGTTGAATTTTCAAGAAAGGATGTTGAATTTTCAAGATGGGATGTTGAAGTTTTAAGAAAGGATGTTGAATTTTCAAGATGGGATGTTGAATTTTCAAGATGGGATGTTGAATTTTTATGAAAGGATGTTGAATTTTCAAGATCCTAAGTTGAATTTTCAGGATAGCAAGGAATTTTCAAGATAAATGATGCTGAATAATAGCGTGCGTGGCCCCAATAGGCTTCCATACATTTCTGCCCCGCCGTGATATTGCTGGAATATTGCTAAGAGTGGCATAAAATTCAACTCACTGCAACGCTGACATCCCGATTCAAATGCAGGCCTAAAATGATCCCTAATGATGTTTGATACTCGTGTAGACCCATTATCAAACACCTGTCTATCCCAAAGGTTAGGATGGAGCATTTCCAACACCTTACTGGGTATTATCCGTCATAATGCTAAATGATCCAGTCAGAGACGTCACTTATAAACCTATGGCCAATGTTGTCTATTGTTCTTGCAGTTGCTTCGCATTATGGAATAACCTCGGTAGAGGTTTTACGATTGCGGGAGGTTTTACAATGACCGTTGTAAAACCCCATACCCTGAGGTAACGAAGTTTTACAATGACCGTTGTAAAACCCCATACCCTGAGAATTTTTCACACAGCAAAATGTTTGTTTTGGTAGTGTCAAAACTGTCATTAAATAAATCTGTGACAGGCGAGTGATTATGTATTACATGTTATAGACACGACTAAATGAAACATTTTGCTGTGCAAGTCTATGCAGACGTACCAATGGAAATAAAACACCCAACAAACTTGGCCACTTTATTTCTGAATAGTCATTGAACACGTAATTTAGTGAAAATTGAAGGTAACGGAAATGTTTCCACGCTCGAGATGAGCATCCAACCCTGTTGTATTCTCTCTGCAGTGGGTTTGGTAGCAGATTCCGATGCAGTCAACTTCTCAGTTTTCGTGGTGGTGGTGGTGGTGCAGTTTTGGGGATCAGCAGAAATTCTGGGATTCTTTGCAACTATGTCGGAAACAAGGGCCTTCTTGGCGTCATTGCTTCTTTTGTAGGTTCGCTGTACAGCTTTGCTCATATGACCTGAAGAAAAGATATTTGCCATCTGTGTAAAGTAATACAAAACTGACGATTTATTCCTGCAAAACACATCGTACGTACTACTTACTGTAAACAGAACTTAATGGTATTTGCAAAAATTCTAAATTTAAAAATTCATTAAACTTTACCAGTGTGTTCACAAATAAGTTGTTCAACATTTGTCTGAAACAACCTCGTCGCTGCAGTTGCTCTAAGAGAATGGTTCGTCTTACGACCTTCTATGCCTCCCTCACTGCATATTCTTTTCATAGTGTTCTGCAAAGTATTATGTCCCACCGGAACATCCAGGTACCACACTATCATTCTTCGGCCTCTTCACCGGCGTGAAATAGAACGCATCCTTTTTGGAAGGGAGACTGTAACATTTTCAGAAATATACATTAATTGTATTTCTAAATGTATCATATATTCATGTATTTATATTTACCCTTATTTTTGTATTCATTTATGTATTCGTTATTATTATAATTATTATTATTATTTACACTTACCACAGCGACTTGTACTTTTGGTAAAGTCGGACGTAACATCTCGTTGAATCATCATTTTCGTAGGCTGGAACTACTTTAGGTTTAAGCTTCCTCTGGGTCATTCCTCCCTGGTTAGTTTTAGACACATCTTCTGTGTAACACAGATAGGATCGGCCGTCAGACATGTTCGTTACCGTATCTTTCAGTCAACTGATGAGACCATGCGGCCGAGGTACCCGGATGTTGAGCATGACACGGCATGCTGCATGTGCAGATTCACGTGATCCCAATGCTCTTCATTTTACCGCGGTGTGTATCCCGATGATCTTCGTTATACCGCAGTGTAATCGTTTCAGACTGTATGTGTTTAATTTTCAGAGCTTGTTTGAGTAATTTTTGTTGTCTTAGACGGTTTATAAGTTTGATAAAAGACTCCTCCTCGGTTTCGGTTGAGAATGTAAAACCTCAGGGGAAGGAAATCCATCGGGCGGTAACGCGCCCTCGGGATTTCCTTCCCCTGAGGTTTTACATTCTCAACCGAAACCGAGGAGGAGTCTTTTATCCTACACATAACCAACATATGCACAAAACCTGGCTGAGGCAATAGGGCCCGTAACTAGGTCACAGCAATTCGCGAGACCTTCATAAACGTTCGAATGGTCTCATTCTTGTCAGCTGACAGTAAGAAACAGATAATCCTTGCAGGATTAACACATTTCCGATCTAACCATCCTCAAATTGGCCAACTATTACGACTGTCAACAACTGTCACAGCCAAGAATGGTTATACACTTGGTCCGGTCTAGTAAATTCACATTTGGCGGTCGTGCAATTTGGAACCAGAACTGGTTCTTGAATAAACGCCTGTCACAAGAAATAGAGTACCGGAAGTACAGTGGGCCGCATATCGCAAGTTGGCGCGCGCAAAGCGAGCTGGGAACCACTTAGTACCGGAGGTAGTTGCGAGACTATCAACACGATACCACACTCCGGCGCAGTGATGACTTAGCATAACATCACTGCCACAGGCTATCACGTGACCGGACTTTTCTCGTTTGTCGTTTGTAAACAAGCACGCATATTCATAATAAAAAGAGACTGGCCTTACGCAAGCTTCTCGACACGCTCTTCACAATGTTTTACATTGTTACATATATATTCGTCCACAACTGCGACAGTAACATTTATGACAGGACATATTTAGATATAAAACTGCCTGCATCGTTTGCTCTGTGTTTGCTTCGATGACAGCACGTGGAGCCGTACAACCTAGGTAAACAAAGGATCGCTACGCAAATCGAAATAGTGTTATGTGTTTTAGGATATTTTCTCAGGAAAACTAAACAATTTTTATCAAAGATGTTTTAATTAGATGTGTAGACTCGTCAAAAATAAATGAGTTAAGAAATATGTAGATTATATTGAATGGACGGTGCAAGATGTGATGAATCGTCACATCTTTCTGGCCTGTGGCAGAGGTACTATGCTGGCTGGCCGCATGGAACTCTGGGTAGGAGAGTGACACCATACATCTCAAGGACGCGAACGTTATTGTCAACCCAGTTGGCTCTTTCTTCGTTCCTCTGAACTGAATATTACAAAAACACTTCCCTCACGCTTTACATTGACTTTGTCGAATTCCAACGTTAAAAGCTGCCAGCGAATAAATGTTACGAATGTCACAAGATTGAAGAGTGATTACTTGAGTGTTTCCGAGCCGTTACATGAACGTTGGTGATTGGCTCGTATGTGTCAGCGATGCTCATTGGTGAACGCATTGTTGTGCTCTTATAAAAAGCATGATTTTGCATGCGCAGAGCGAGTTTCCAAAGAGCCTCGAGGGGAGACAGGAAACAGAAGCATCATGTCGGGGTTGCTGGGGTGTGTCGGTGTGCTGTTGCCACCCGTAGCTGGTTCAGTTTACTTTGTTGTATTAAATTATGAGGCTTTGGTACGTTATAGTATTGTAGGAAGTATTTGCTCACGAGTACGGTTGTATTTGACAGTGTATATTATTTGATTCTGTTAGATTTTGCACGCTATTGACTTTAAAGGAGAATCCGAACGAAAACAAAACTTTTGATATATTGTAAAGGATATTCTAAAAGTCACCTTCCGTGATTAAAATTGAACAGAAAGAACTATAGGATCCTAGTTCTCATTAATAACGTATCAAGTCTCCACACAAAATCCCAGCCTGGTCGAGCAGAGATATTATTCGCGACGCAGATAAGTTATTCCCCGAAAACTGGTGAATTATAAAATACTTGTCAGGACAATGTATGTTTCCCCAGTGTTTGGTTATGGAAATAGTTATTGAACTCGGCCATAGCCTTAGAATGGCATCTTGTCAGCCAATGTGAACACAGAACAACTTTCACGGCACACACTACTGACAAATAGCGAGTCTGATGCCGACATGCATAACTGGACAAAATGGAAAACAATGAAAGCAACAAGTACTTCATGATTTGCCGTTGTATTCGGCAATGTTTCGGGTAGTTTGCAGCATTTAGGGCTCCAAACCGAAAAGAACGTCATAGCGAAACATTTTCAAGCTCATGTGAAATCTCTTACTGATTTTGATAATATATATCTCATGGGTACCAGTGGAACTGCCCCAGCTATAAAATGCCCCAGCAAATTTAGTCATTCATTCTAATTTGGTCAAATTTATTTTATAATGATTAAATATATGCCGTAAATGCATACTTTTTGTCAACTTTGAGGTGAGGTGAAATTGGGTTTAACGTCGTGCTTGAGAATATTTCGCTCATATGACGACGTGCATGCGTGTGTATGTGTATGTGCGGCTGCTTGTACTAGCCCAGACTGAAGCTGTTTTTATAGTGCTAGCCCACTGAGATACCATGCCGCAGTGAAGCATGAATACCCTACTCAGACACATTATACTGACTCCGAGCCAACCAGTCCTTGTTGTACCCATTAATGCTGAGCGCCAGGCAGGTACCAACAAGTACCATATTTTAACGTCTTTTGGTATGACGCGGTCGGGGATCGGACCCGCGACCTTCCGCTCTCCGGGCGGACGCTCTAACCACTACACCACGGAGGCGTTATCAACTTTGATATAATGTAATTCAAATAAAGGTTATAAAGAAGTAATATTTCTGATAAATGTTCCATCAGTAAACTCATAATAATGTATATACTTTTATATGAAGAACATAATTTAAGAGTTGAAAAAACTATGCATTTATGGCCTATATTTAATCATTAAAAATAAATTGGGGAATTTTAACTATAAAATATGCATAATGGCCGAAGCTGAGATTTACAGAAACTGTTTTCGCGATTAAAACATAATTATACATATTCTTTTAATTGGAAATTTGGGAATATGTTCCTGATGACTTTATGTTTCACCCAGAAATTATTGCAATTCACTCGTATTCTCCTTTAAGAATTTGTGAACTTGTATCCTTAAAGACTGCATGTGCAATTGAACTTTAGCGTCCGTGATACATATTGTCGCATTTTTGGGGGTTTCTCTGTATAGTTTTGGTTGAGTATATTAAACAGTGTGCAAATGTTTCTTGCTGTTTTCATTTCTTAGTTTTCCTACCCGTAGTTATTGTCCTCGGACGTGTGTTGTGCCCTTAAACGCACAATGGTCTTAAGTGCACAGAAATCATAAATAAACATGAGTGGGCGGAGCTTATGTCACTACGTCACATACACGGCACAGTATCTTCCGCAGAACAACACACGTGTTAGTCACTTCCGGAAACAGCCTGTGTTCTTGTTAATTTATTGTATGGGTGGGGGGAAGTCCCGGCGTTTAGAACCACCTTATTTACGTCGCTCGCACGGCCGCAGCGTTACATAAACATTGTTACTAGCCCAGTTACTTAGCCCGATACCTTAGGTGAAGGCCAACACAAAGTAGTTTCAAACGTTCCGTCAACTGGACATAAAGAATAGATGTTCAGATGAAGAATTCTGATGTACTAAATTTCTGCTGTCTGTAGGATATCAGACGTAAACTGCGCTTTGAGCATAATATCCAAGTATGGAAAAGCGCAATACAAATCCACTATTATAAACAAAACGGCGAAATAACTGGAAATGATTCATGCTAAAAATGTGTCACATTCGGTGGCCATAGGGACCGTTCATAATTTATGGCTAGGGATGTGATGATTTTTTTGGAGAAGCATGTACAATGTGAATGAGCCCCTTTCAATTTAGGGGGGTCTTCCATTTAAGCATAATTTATAAAAGATATTTATGTACATGTGTACAAAATTGATGCCCCCCCACACACACACACACACACCCACACACACCACGCCACGCACACACCTCCCCAGAATAAATGGGTGACCCCCCTAAAATCATCACCCCCTAGCCATGAATTCTTAACGGTTCCTTACACCGTTGTACGTCTGTGGAAGCAGAAATAGAGCACTACACACTCAGGACATTGGAACGACCTGCGACACATGACAGATTTAATCCGTTTTACAAAACCATCATACAACCACATTTCCTGCAAAACTTAGCACTTATATAAAGATAAGTACATCACATAACATGCAATACAACATCGTCATGTCGAGTAGAACTAGCCCGCCACATATGCCAGATATGACAACTCATATACATGAGAAAAATCCCTCGAGCTGTGCCCTCCCGACGAATGCTAAAATTCTTACTAGGAAGTTTATAGTATTTATAACATGATGCAAGATGAAACAAACATTGTCTCACCACAGGCCAACAATGTCATGACAGTATTCTCAAGGCTCTGCAGCCTACTTTACAAAACATTGCTGCTCGTTATATAATAAACATTATAATACATTCGGTGTATAACAAGGTATTATAAAGGCTCAGCAGCATGGCATGTGAATAAGTCAAATTCACTCATAGTGTCATAAAAGCAACCTAACCATAAACGGTAGTATATATGGGCACATCAGCTATACATACCAAACTATGTAACTACACATAAGAGGGGCGGTGGGGTAGCCTAGTGGTTAAAGCGTTGGCTCGTCACGCCGAAGACCCGGGTTCGATTCCCCACATTGGCACAATGTGTTAAGCCCATTTCTGGTGTCCCCCGCCGTGATATTGCTGGAATATTGCTAAAAGCGGCGTAAAACTAAACTCAGTCAGTCAGTCAGACACATAAGATCATACGGGAATTAAACCTGATTACAAAATTCATCGAGTGTGCATGACTCCGAAAATCAAACAATGCTCACAAGCACCACACTGTGCTTAATTCACAATCATCACAGTCAAATACAACCACCACCTGCAACAACAAAACAAAATAATACAAAATTAAAATATACAGATATATGCATGAAATAAAGGTCAAATGAAGTGAACACTGTGT